ATATAATTGTGTACACACATTGTATATATTATTTTTATATTTTTTGTATTATTAGTCCTGTTTGGGCCATATTTTTCTTTATGAAAATACATTTACATTTTATATTTGGGTTTTCTCTGCATTAAATAGGAAACTGAAGATTTTAATGACGATTTGAAGTCTTTAATTTGCCGTTCCACTATCATTCCTTCCCCCACAAGAGAAGGCAAGACCACAACTTTATCAGCTCAGCCCATCAGGTAAATAACCAAAAATATTATAATATGATATTGCTTAGATTTTAGGTATGTTATATATTAACCTTTGTAAGACACCTTTAGATACTTTATTATATATATTGATCATTCAATAAAACAATCAAGCACCATGTTGACTTTTAAAGCTGAAAACGATGTTTAAAATAGAAGTAACATTTGTCACATGCACATGTGTGATGCCATAAAAAACACCGAATTTGAAGAGGCCCGTTAGAGGGCCTCCTTCACTTGAGAATTACATAGTAACTGTATAGTGTGGTATGTTGTGTTGTGTGCATGCTAATAACAGTTACAATTCGAGCGGATTTTTTATATTATTTAAAATTTTTCGCTTTACCTTTTATGGTGTCATCAACTTGATTTTACGTTCGTAAAATCGGGAATTCGTTAAATCGGGGTTCGTAATTGAAGGTTTCTACTGCATTAGAATTTCTATTATAATAATTTCTGTTCCATTTTTAGTATTGGTGATCAACTGCTTGGTTTGAATGATGACAAAGGGTTGACAGGTGTCTCTACTTCAGTATTTTATGAAAGTGATAACGGTGCTGAAGACCTCAACTTCTACTACCATTCTTCTGAGTAAGTACTTTACTGTATCATTAGTGCTTACTGTAACATGAGTACTTAATGTGTGTACCATGAGTGCTTACTGCATTTACCATGAGTGTTTACTGGGTGTACCATGAGTGCTTACTGCATGTACCATGATTGGTTACTGTGTGTACCATGAGTACTTACTGCATGTACCATGAGTACTTACTGCATGTACCGTGAGTACTTACTGTATGTACCATGAGTGCTTACTGGTTATACCATTATTGCTTACTGCATGTACCATGAGTGCTTACTGCATGTACCATGAGTGTTTAATGTATGTACAATGAGTGCTTACTGTATGTACCATGATTGCTCACTGTATGTACCATGAGTGCAATACTGGGTGTACCATTTAATAGTGCTTACTGTATGTACCATGATTGCTCATTGTATGTACCATGAGTGCTTACTGCATGTACTGTGTGCACCATTAGTGCTTACTGTATGTACTATGGTTGGTTGGTTGCTTACTGTATGTACCATAAGTGCTTACTGTAGCTACCATAAGTATTTACTGTATGTACCATGAGTTCTTACTGTACCATGAGTGGTTACTATACTATGAGTGCTTACTATATGTAACATGGCTGGAAGCTGTTTATTCCAGCAAAATTCCAGCAAATCAGTCTTCAAGAGAATACTAATATTAATGTAGTGTGATTGATGTTTTATAAGACACCTGCTTTCAAAGCTTGACTTGATTGAAATATATGCGGTATGTAAGTACATTATAATGGTTTATATTTAATAAGCTTGAGCTGTTCATAATTTATTTTATTCCCAATTATTAACATTGTTCTATGATAATTACTTTCAGATCCACCAAGGCATGCAGCAATGGACGTTCCACTGTGCTTACCTTGAGATGCGACCAGAATGCTCTCGGTGCCGGACATATACAGCTTCCCAAAGATTGTCCCGGTGGCACATGTGACGGATGCACATTCCACTTTTTGTGGCAGACGGCAGCTGCTTGCCCCGAATGCATAGAGGCTGATTACTACGCTATTAAGGGAGAATGCTCCGGGGGAAAGCAGGTGACACACTATGTTTGGAACAGCACTAGGTCAGTATAAATAAGATTATGAGGATGTTATTTATGATAATGGTGATAAAAATTAGTTCACATGATTAGGTAACGAGAATAGATTATGATTGTAATAATGAAATAGATGATTTTGATAATGCTGGTTGTAGAGGTGGTGATAATGGTGTTATTTCATTTAAGCAGTGCACTGTATCAATAACATATACAAACTCGCATCAGTATGTCATTGATTCGTTCTGAATTTCTAATATACTAAATACACCCACTTGCAGATTGTTTGTTACAATAACATTCATACAAATAAGCTATAATAGATAGATTTGAAAGTGATGATGTTTGAAATGGTGGTAATTATAGTTGTGGAAATGGTGTTTATCCAGATGGTGAGTATCCTTGTGGCAATAGTGATAATGTTTTTGTGTCTGTGCTCCCTCGAAGGCATAGACACTATGTTATCATCTGGCAGTTAATCCTGTAAGAGCGAGAAATGATGGAATGGGTCATGAGCTAAAGATAAAAATGAAAAGCAAGTCTACGAAATATGATGCCATACTGAATTGACATGAACACAGAAAGCTAGATAAGACCTGTCCTAGAAAGTTCACTAAAAAGTCACTACAGTAAAAAACACCACACATTCTTTATAACCGAATCCCCATTTGGGTACTTTATTGGTAGTAAACATAATACCTGGACAGTAAGGCAGTATAGCGCATAGACAAACGTTCTCGCTTGGAGCCTATTTTTGTAAATGGTGATGATGGTTGTTAAGTTGGTGTTGATTGTTGTAGAGATGGTAATGCTGATGGCAATAATGGTGTTGAGATGTGATATGGTGATATGGTTGTAGCTTTGTAATTTTATTGGCAAGGCATGTATTACAAATAAGAATTTTTTTTAACTGGATAATAATAATTTTGAATTTTTGAACCTACTTTACTTAAAAGTTGTTAATTTCTGTGATGTGTTTGTGTTTTTTAGAGTGTGCCTTAAAGGTGTTCCTCTACCAGAACCAATTACAAAATCCTGTAGTCTGATTCCGTGGTATGGGCAACTGGCCGTTGCTGGATTTGTGTTCTCCTTATTTGTTCTCATTGCCGTTGTTATAGTTGTCTGGAAGCAAAACAAGAAGTAAGTTTTTCTTTAGTATTTATATTGAGGCTATTCCATACGGTCGCTCCTTCCCCATAGAATCGCATCGGCCAATGACTGCCGGGGGAAATGAGTGTCGGGTTTAAGTCTCGTAATGAGATTTACAGAGACAAGTTAGTCACGAGAAAAAATCCTGCTGTGACAGTGATTGAATCCAGGACCCTGGGATTTAAAGGCAAGCACCTTAACCACCAAGCTGTTAATAACTTCATTCCTGTTCGTTGATTGGGACTTCCTACCTCCGCTTCACATCGGGAGCCAGTCCCAATTATCCAACACCTTGGAAAGTAGAATTCACTACTTCACCCCAAATGATGTTTGTATTAATTTTGTGTATACACAGTCCTGGACTTTAAAAAAATCAACAATCTTTAAGATATCATTCCCATGCCTTCCAGCATTGCTTTTCTTTAAAGATATATCTCTTTTTCTGTACCAACTAGACTTGAATACAAATACCAGAAATTGGTAGCGTCAGCTAGTGGAGAGTTGCCTGCAGCAGAAACGTGTGCTATTGGTGAAGATGAGGAGGAAGATAACGTAATCTTTGAGGACGGCAAGTCTTCTTCCTTCTTCAGCAAGTTAAAATCATTTGGCTCTTCATCCTCAGACAAGGTTAGTTTAACTTCACAGAAAGTAGTTAAGGGCACATCCAAGATTTTGAAAACAAGAGTAAAAAGGGGTTGGCATATGGTGCAAAAACAAATTGGTCAAATATTTAACTTATACATCTATTAGGGCTGAACATTTTTTTGAAATGTATTTAATAATAAAATGATAATGATGGTTTAGGAACTTTATAAAGTGGCTTAGCATGAGCATTAACATGCTATAATGTATGACTTTAATCATTTGTTTATGTACTGTATATAAGGTTTGTAACAAAGTGAACATAGAAAACTGTTATTCACTCTAGGCTATCTACAGGGTCCTGCAAAATTGTTTGTATGCTATTTCATAAACGATCCAACCAAAAATCATTGTCTGCATCAACATCAGTAGACATTTAATTTAGGTGGAAACGGTTCAAACCCTCTTCCTTTGGGCAAGTTACTTTTTCCATGTTGTCTCACCACCCAGGAGTATTTGAAAGTGGGTACAAATGCCAGTGCATGAAAGTTATGGAATAATCAGGAAGCCAAGTTAGTGTTTCATAGGCATTGTTCCAATTAATGGAATAATTATGCCCTTTAGTTGTGTAATGCGCTATATAAATACTGACATAACATTTTTATGTTTTTGGACCACATTGAACCTTGGCTGACAACCTAGGCCAGGGAGGTACATCTAGCATTATTCCAATTCTGAGTGCATAGAAATCTATGAAAAAGGATATGTTTTGGACTATTTAATATAATTAACAAACTATTGTGTCAACATACACCTATATTTAATTTAGTGTTATACTATTAATATAGTATAATGCTCTAAAGGTATTAATTTCTCATAACATTTTTTATTCAAATTTTAATCATAAAAACAAATAACTTTCCTGGCTATTATTTTTTCTTTTTATTTAATATTAAGTCCTATATTTTGCGAACATCAAATTGTTTTCAGTTTGAATTTGTTGCGTATTATTAATCATTATCTTGATGGTTATTTTTTTTTCCCCCTCGCATTTCACGTGAACCATAGGATTTGGAATTCTCTTCTATGCAGAATAAACTCCTTCCCAGAAATTAAATCAAGTAGGTTCACACAGCATGCTTCCATCCGATATTATCCTCCGGTCTTTTGTGTTTATTTTATTTGTCAGTTTTCTGCTTTACTTCTGATCCTTTGTGCATGCTTCATTTTTTTTTTTTTGTGTCTATGCATATAATTTACTTAGAATTTCAATTCATAATCTCTAGGTAGTGTTTTTATTTTGTAATTACAAAGAAAATGATTTTGCATGGAATACTGGAGCTTGCCTACAATTACATCTTTGTTTTGTTTAATTGGTAAATCATTATTTTTATTTGAATTGGCAACTTTTTTCGTCCTTATTTGTGTTTATTATTTTTTATTGTTTGGTAAAGAGTTTTCTTTTATTTTTTCATTCTCCATCTTTATTAATATTTATTCAGGTTACATATAGTTCATTATTTGACAATTTCAGCATACACTAACATAAATTTGTCTCTATTTTTAAGGTAAATATATTTGGTTTTATAGTGATTTTATCCACAAGGGACACAGAGGAACTACCCAGGGGACAAATTTTTAGCCAAGGGGCACACTGAACAACAAAAACAATAGATTTATTGATTGATATTTATTTATTTATTACAAATTCGACAATAAAGTCAAGAGGGAACCATGGGTCAAGGGCACAACACAAAAGTGGGAACCTCTCTACATAAAATAGAAACAATGTACAATGTAAAATTAGAACGGAAATCTATAGAAAACATTATACTTTAATTTTAAAAATAATAATAATAATAATAATAATAATAATAATAATAATAATAATAATAATAATATATTTCTATATTGGAGGCCTTTCCGTTTGATTCTATCCACATTTTGAGTGTTTTCTTTGGGGCATTTTGAACTGGGCTTCGGAAGCGTATCTGTCTCCTTGGCTATAGGTCTTATCCTTTGCTAATCTGATGCTTTTTATGTTAGTTACTTCAGGTTTATGATTTTTTTGTATTTTTGTGAATGTTTACATTTATTTAAAGTTTGTATTTATTTTGGTTTTAGAGTGATCAAAGTGTTTTGGAATGATTTATTTAGTTAAATATTGCTTTTTTTTTTGTTAACATTTGTCAATTAAATTATCATCAATAAATTTACTTTGAGCATGTGTTAAACATATTTTTTTTCAACTTCTTGTTGCTTTGCAACTTTATGTTATGTTCCTGTTTTTAAATTGCTAACATTAATCCTTCCATATTTTGATATAATTTGTATTAAAGAGTATTTATCATTTAATATTTATATGTTAAGTCACTGAATATTGTTATTAATCATCCTGATGCTAACCAAGAAAACAGGAAGAAAACAAACTCTAGCAAAGCAACTAAAAGCACAATTGCTCTATCTCATCGCATCGTTTGTATTGTTTTTGCCCTAATTATTTTATTTAACAAGTATTTTCAAAATTCTAACCCTTAAAATGATATTTGTACTAAAAAGTAATTTACACAAGATATGGTGAGAATCTTGTTTTGTGCAATTATTTGTAGGTACGTAGTTATCTTTTGGAAAAAGGGAGGTCATCTGAAGGCTATGTTTTCTGCTTACTTGCGAGCTTTGATGTGTGTCTACTGGAGTAACAGTACTTGCATACCATATACGCACACAGCACACAACCTTAGATGATTCTTAGTAAATTTCGCTTAAGCTTAGTCAAGACTCAAATTTTCTTTAATAAATAACTAATGTATGCCTATGTTTATTTATGATGTGCCTATATTTATTCATGATGTGCCTATATTTATTCATGATGTGCCTATATGGTCATGATGTCAATATGACCATATTTAGGCATGTCACGTATGTTGCTCGAGCAAAATTTGATAGTCTGGACGGCTTTACAGTACTGTAAGCTCTGGTACATAATGCAAGCTCACTCTGTGGCTTTTACTGAAGTAAACAACCTACAGCATATGTTTAGAGGGTAATATTAAAGAGAATAGAATGGCCAGAGGTTCAACTGTCGGGTTTCTTTGAAATGAAGTTTTATCTCGAAAAATTCTACCATTGACTGGGTGGGCGTCTTTCATAAAAGTAGATGCGTAAAAGTTGTTCGTATGAAACATGGCGCACAGCATGTAAGGCGAGACTTGTTATTATACCTTGTTTAGCTAACCTGCTGAGTGCAAATATTGATTTAACTAATCTTATTTTACAATTACCAATGAAATTTTATTTTTATTTTCTTCTCCGTCTGGATCTTTTTGGCAAAACTATTTGCTAAAAAAGAAAACAGAATTTTAATTTTATTCTTATTCCGCCTTTCTCCAATAATCTTTAAAAAAATAAGTATGGAATAAAAAAATCTTGCCTAAAGAGTGCCTGTTCGAAATTCTTATCAAATTGTTATAGAGCACCTCCCCCTGCCCCATCTAATGGTAGTACTTTTTTTTTCGTTTCATTGTGTGCATGCAAAATGAAGAAAGTTGGAGCTTGTTGCCATTCTGTACTCTTTGGTAATATCCTCCATCTACTTTTGTCAACAATGACAATGACACAGCACCCCTTCAACCACCTACGTACTGTACACATCATTAAAATTTAGCACTCGCTTGAAAAAGTTTTTTAATTACTAAACATTTTCTTTCCAGGATGATGATCTTAAAATGCCTCTGCACCCTTTGAGCTTCGGTGGGTCCAAACCAATTGAAAATGTCAACATTTAGGTTATATTTTCCACAAAATACATACATGTTTTGTGCTGGATGGGTTGCCTTCAAGGATCGTTTCTACATTTTACTACGCAAAGCAGTAGGAGATTGACAGCATATTGGAATTGTGGCTTTATTGTTTTTTTATGCCGGTAAATGATTACGCATATTATGCCATGGTTTTGTTTTATACCAACATCAGGTTTATTTTTGTTTTAGTTACTTCTTTTTATCATTATTTCATAGTCTTATAGTAATACATATTCATAGAAATTGAGATTTTTTTAAAATAAAATTTGTATTATGATTCTGGGCAGGTGTCAGTAAGCGAAACCTCTAACTTATACACTTCATACTGCATAGGTTCTGTTTATAGGACAATCATTATTTTATTTTTACATTTTTTTCAGTTTCTATTTAGACACAAATTTCTTTACACTTACTTTTTGTCATCAAATTCTTACATTATCTTAAGATTACTTAAAGAAGAGTTATACATTTGATAAAGATATTTATTATTCTGTATACATTTGCATATGTTTGCATATATTTGCATATTATATAAATAATTAATATTAACTAGAGACTGGTATATTTATCCATACACGGTGATAATTACTTTAATCACCATATTTATGCATTCCATCTTTATGTGTTTATTACTGAAAATTATATGTGATCACTTTTAAAATTTCTTATATTTTGTGCAGTTCTAAAATGCCTTTTTTTCTTAACAGGATATGATAAACAGTGCAATTCAAAATCGACTTAAATAGAATTTTATAACTTGGAAGATTTCTGTATAAGTAACTACTTTCAATGGGCTCAGGGCCAAAATAATAAAATGGAAAAGTAGAGAATGAGGCTCCATTTTTACTCACAAACATGGACCACAAACACTTATCTAAGCCAAGCTCTGTTTGCACAATCAAGTTTTTATGTGAGAAATTACTGGTGATTTGCCCATTGCTTTTTGTAGAAGTTATAATAATGTTATTATTTACAGTATTATTATTCCTCTGTCTTTCCATTAGGTTTAATATAACTTTACATTTCAGCACGTATACTGGCAGATAATTTAATTAGATTAATGATTGTAAGATATTGATTAAATTTGGTATTTGGGTTGTGTTTGTATATGATGCAAGGGCCAGTTTGTTTAATGAGTATGGTATGTGGTTGTAATTTTGTGCAATTTTATTTTGGTTCTTTGCCAGAATTTATAGGAAATGTATTTCTAATATCGATGCTTTCAATTGTTGTTTATAATTTTTTTTTTTCTAAAATTGCTATCAAATTAAAAATGTAATTGTGATAATACTAATTGATTTTGTGTTCAAATTTATATCAAATTTGTATTCATTTTTGTGATTTGTTTTTCCTCATATTTATAATTCTATTAATCTTTAATAGCTTTATTTAAAAAAAACTTGTTAGAATCGGTGACAGTGGGGATAGAGAATTTTAGAATGTGAAAAAATATCCTTAAATTAAGTAATCTTGTTTTATCATCCATCAAATCACATCATCAAACTGATTTTTGTATGCAACAGACACCAAACACTATGCAGCTGTGTTAATATAATAGTATTTGAGGCGTGCCATCCCAACACCAGCATGAGTCACCAAAAATATGAAAATTGACTTTAATATATTCTTATCTCCAAATTGTAAGCTTTAAAATGATGGGTCATTTTTGGAATTGACTTGCTATTGCCCAAGTTATTGGTAAAAGTATTGTAGCTCCTCTGTACTAAAGTATACATACAATACTTCCACATTCCTACGCTATTCTCAATTCAATTCAAGGATTTTATTGAACTACAACAAACTAGATTTACTTTGTAGCCAATAGCTAAATTGAGCAAACTTTCACAAAGAAAGATATATTGCACATTGCAATGTAAGAAAAAGACACCAAAAACTAGTCAATTAAGCATTAAAAAGACACCTAAAACTAACAAATTTAATACAAAACATTGAAGCAGAGAGACAAATATTAAAAAGGATTTTAAAAGAGTGAACAAGACGGACTTGTTACAGTGACGGCACCAGCGATGGAAGTGGATTAAGCCCCACTATCGGACAAGTCAAGTCCCCCCCCCCCACACCACCGGCCGAGCCCATTGGGCAGTTGAAAAGCCAAAGCCTCCCCTTCCTTGGGCATACAAGCTCAAGGCCCCCCTGTCCTCCCTGAAAATGTATCCTAGAGCTGCCACTGGATTGGTATTCAAATTTGCTCTATAATTATATTATTATTTAAGTTTAACAATCACTGAGATTATGCCGGTTTTGGGATGGGAGCCTTATTTGACTAATATTCAACTTGCAATTAATAGATTAACATAAAATACCATTGAAACTACAGTATAATGCTCTGTCCCTGCTTAAATTTTCTGCAGCAAATATCTGTGATTTGGCCATATATGGTCATGATGATGATGATATCTGAACTCTCCCATATATGGACATATCACAGGTGGTAGTGTGTTCAGAGCTTATGTTTGATCTCTCAGACTGCACTCATCATATTTTTGGTTGACTCACAGTTATTAATCCTGTGATTCCTGCTGTTAAGAAATGAGCACATTAATCCCGTAATTCGATTTCTATCGTGCATTTAAGGGCACATAGAAAAAAATCAATAGATTATCACTCTTTTTTTTTTTAAATTGATGAGGGTGGGATCTGGATGTTGTAGGTTGTTTTTTGCCCACCAACAACCAATCCAAACAATCGAACCCATTGCAAGTGAAGACCGGCCACTTGTAATGCATGATGTAACAAGTTATTTTTAGCAGCGCAAGTTTTATTTTTGAAATGTGTGTAACAATATCCGATTAGCCCACTGTTAAAATAAATGATGCGGCAAAAAAAAAAATATTATTCCCGCATCAATATTTCCTAAATGTTTTACGCGGGCGGAAGTGATAATCATTTTTTTCTGTGTGCCTTCATTTTTTTAAATTTATTTTTACTTCATACTTCTGATGACTAACTACTTGTACACTACTGTATGTGATACTCTATAATAAACTCATACAAGGCTTTAGGAGTGGAGTTGTAATGCAATGGTCAAGAATTTTGTTCAGGATCTTTTCCAGTGCGTACAGAGTGTGTAATACTTTTGAAAAATTCTGGATCCACCCCTCTTCAGTGCTTGCATATCAATTGTACCAACTTTTTAGCAAGGGTCTAAAGTCATTGTGTGAAGATGAAAGTGATTCTAGTATACTTCAGTTGGCCCATTATTAAACCCCCCTCCTCCAACCTCCATGGCAATCTTGGATATGGACCTGTCTTAACCAAGCTACAGCTCCACTCTTAGATGCCCCATCCATTTGTGAATACACTTGCTAATATAGATAATATGTGTTGTTTGCATGATTGTAAAGTCTGGTTGAAATTATTCTAATTTATATTTCAAAACTGCTCATTTGCGTTGTGTGTTCTTTTTGTTAACTTTCACTATCAATAAACTTTTCAAGAAGAAAAAAAACAAGAAATGTGGCTTAACTTTTATACAATATTGTGTCTTGCGGGAGTCACACGCATTTAACTTTGACCTCGCTGCCTCACACGAAGCCTATATATTCTCATACATTCCACCATTTCATCAAATTTTTTTTTTTTAATTTGCTATTTTCTCAAAACAAGCATACAACATGTACAAACACGACTATCGCGCCAGCGATCCAGTAGCAATCGTCAGTGTTTGACGCTGCCTTAGCGTAAACTGAAAAAAACTAAAATGGGATATCAAAGTGGCACTTTGTATCAATGTTTTTACTGTAAAGGTGTATGTTATATCGAAACTTGACTGTATTTTCTTTAAGGTTTTGTGACCTCGCGCTTAATTTTCAAAAAATTCCAATTTTCAAGCAAATCCAGAAGAAATCTCAAGCATGCCAGTGTGAGACCCTTGAGAGGTCTGTACTTAACAAACTAACTACAGTATGACTACAGTAACTGTATATTTGTATTACAATGTGTTTTTGTGGAAGTCTCGCATGTATCCTTTAGTCATTAGATATGCTGGCGGCACCAGGGGTTCACTCCCACCTCGCTCAGACTGTCATGCTTTTTAAAGCAGTGCTCTCAACAGTCCCCTGCCTGTTGTTAAATGAAATTGGACGAATGAATAATGAGATGTCGATGTCTAACCAAAATTTTCTGGTGTGGCATCTTGCTATCCTGATTGTTCATCACTTAATAATTGTTCACAAAATTATTCACTGCATTAATTTTTAAGTTTATTCACTTAATTGACAATACATGTAAAAATGGTTTTGATAATTGTATACTGTATAATACCTGTACTTCACTAGGGTTCCTTATCCAGTATACAGTATTTGATGGCTCTATACCAAGTCTGAACAAAAACTCACCCTATAAAATCCATGTGAGTATATCTTCAAATTAGTTTAATTAAAATTAAATTTAAAAAAAACTAGTACTTATTTATAGCACGTGTCATAATCCAGTGGAATTTCAAAGCACCTTTCAAATTATTTACTCTCTGGTCTTTGGATTATAATTTGGCAAACATGCACAACACTGAACATCCTCCACTCTCTTGATAGAATCACTAACCTCTGCACGCTGCGCAAAATCAAATGCCTTCCTACCAGTCACTGACTACTTCAACATTGCCCAACATCTAGATTTTAGCTGTTTCTCTTTGCTGTATTATTGCATTATTTCATTGTTTATCAGTAAAAAAATGTCCTAAAATTGTCCATTATACAGTTTTAATATGACATCATGCCCATACTGTATATGGGTTCAATAGAACATCATGCCCATATATAGGCATACATATCTGAAATAAAATAAATACTAATCTTTATAGAAATTATAAGTAATGTCCACATTATTTGTATAAATGTAAAACAACTTGTAATGCAATCCAGAATAAATTGATAAAAATAATTATTACTTCACTATAAACTGAAAATTTGTTTCCCTGACATACAGATAAATCGATTTGATAAGGTAAAATAGTGAATACAAAATTTACAGTTTAGTTAAAATTAAATCAATTTTTGTATCTACAGACACCAAACATCTTTAAAAGGGTTCATACAAAAGAATATTTTAACTACTGAATTGTTTTACATATAACCCCTATTAAGAGGACACCTCCGGGAACGAAAAAAGTGTCCCCTGTGTGATAAAAGGTAGGTTGCTTAAACTGAGCCAAACGCAGGGCTAATCTTCAAATAATATCATTTTATGAGATTTTAAATGTTCACCAAAATTTTATTTTCCCGTATATAAAATTGCATTCATTCATATTAACTTCATTGCAGTGGTAAATTTGTATGTCATGGACAATCTCCACAAAAGACGAACATGATCATGATTTAGAAAAACTAAAACTTGTGTGTCGCTCTTATAAGACAACCCCCTGTTTTTCAATTTTAATTTGCTATTTTAAGCCTCGTCGCGCGAGTAAATACGGTAGTGAAAGGAGATATGCATATTACTACTGTACTTAAAACTGGTTAACTACCAGTACATTTTAAAGTTTTTAAACTTCATTATGGAAAAAAACACTACAAGGTCAAGTGCACTTAAAAATATATACGCATAAAATGTAGTATTTAAAGATGTAGTGTCCCCTGGAAATGACAAAAAAATCATGAGAAATAATTTTGGAATTAACTTGCTCATTTTGCAGTAACATACAAATTATTAACTTCAGGCTCATAGAAATTATTGAATTTAAAAAAATGTGTACCATAATTTTTATACTGGATAGTAATAAAAATAATATTATTAAAACACGTCCAGTGACAGGAATTGTTATTATTTTCCGCTGTTAAATTAAGGGTTAAAATTATTTAGGTACACTAATTTCTATGTTCAAGTTGATAATTTTAAATTAATTTCAAAAATTATATTTATTTTGTTTGCATGGGACAATACATCTATAGCTAATCCATTAAGTACCTTCTGTGGTGAAACCTAAAAATGAACATCTTAAAAATATATATAATTTTAAGAAAACCCTTTTATAATTCATTGTATTTAAAGTCAGATGGTAGGCCTAAATATGTAAAAAATGAAATAAACTTGTATAATGGATATAATAAAAGATTTTCAAATTATCAAATAATAAATATAAATACATTTCATTGAAATTTAAAAAAAATAAAATAAAATAAAATATCAAAATGACAAGAATCTCCATTCGGAAAAAAGGTAGATTTTTTTCATAAAATATCAAATGACAAGAATCTATTTTAGGTGTGTTATAAAACAAATAATGAAAGTTTTTTATTGGCGCAATGCGCCAATAAAACACGTTCATTATTTATATAATATTGCTTAGTATAAAAAAAAAACATTGCTTAGAAATTCAATTAATCAGTTTTGATCTTTTATCTCCAACTCCAGATTTTCATTTATGTCCAAGTTGTTTTCCCTGCTTTTTTCTTTACTCTCTACTTTGTTCAATTCTTCTGATTTCTCTTTATTTTCTTTTTGTACGTCCTTTTGTTCCTCATGTTCTTCCTTCTGTTCAACAACACTTCGTTTCTTCACAGAATTTTCAATGTACTGTATCACGTTAAACGGATCAATGTTAACATTGGAAGCCTGGAGAAGCAAAAGTAAATTTTTCCTTAAAGACTATCAATTAAATCTCAGAAATATAAAATAGTATTACAATACAATAATTTAGTATAGCGACCAACAGCGATGAGAACACTGTAAGATCATTAGGTTGTGTATTCCAGTTTTTAATTTATTTCCTAGACCCTCCGAGCTTAACAATATGTTTCTAACCCGCTTAAAGAGACACAGGTAAACCAATGACCAAAAAAAAAAAAAAAAACATCTGTTCTGTGTATTTGCTCTTTCACTTTTTTGGTCTTTTTTACATTTTTATAATTTTTTTGAGTAATTTTACCAATTTTATGTTTCCGTTTTTCTACCAGTTTCGAGAGCCACTTGACAGTATTTTAGTATACTTTTGGTTATCCTGTCTCCCCAAGTTTAAGACAAAATAAATGACATGAAATGGTAATGTCCCCTTTTTTCAGCCCCTGTTTTTTAATCTTCCCCTGTGACTCAACTATTAGTTTAAAAAAAAAAATTAAAGCAAAACTTACTCCAAATAATTCCATTGCACTAATATCTGAACGGGGGCTGTTTACTGGACCCCGACTAACTATACGAACTAAAGCTGGAATGTCGTCAAAACCTGGTGCTACCC